AGTTCACCAGTCTGACCAATGTGGTGAAACCCTGTCTCGAAAGAAAGAAAGAAAGAGAGAGAGAGAGAGAGAGAGAGAGAGAGAGAGAGAGAGAGAGAGAAAGAAAGAGAAAACCAAAACAAAATTGTAAGTCCTCTGACCCTTCTGCACATCCACACCCAGGCAGACAGAAACAGTTCCATACTCTTTTTACCATGTGTCTCAGGCTCTCTCCTCATACAGAGAGGAAATGCATGAGGCAATTGAGAGCACTGACCCTAAAGTCAAGACATAGCTAGGTTTAAACCTGTCTCTGCCACTCACAGGCTGTGTGACTTTGGACAAATTCATAATTTCCCTGAGTGTTTGTTTCCTTGTCTATAAAATGGTGACACCTATTTCAGATGGTTATTATGGATATCACATGGGGTGTATGATTGTCTGCGTTGCTGATTTTAAAACTATTGTAAATTTACCCTTTTAAAATACCACTAATTATTAATCTTATAGTTTCTGTGGGTTAGGAGTCCCACACAAGATACCTGGGTTCTCAGTTGGGGGTTTTAGACAACTAAAATCAAGGTGTTGTCTGGGGCTGCAATGTCACCCGAGGCTTCCGTTCCTCTTTCAAGCTCTTTCAGTGTGTTGGCAGAGTTCAATTCCTTGTGGTTATAGGACTGAGGCCCCTGTTACCTTGCTCCTGTCAAGTGGAGACCACCCTCAGCAACTAGAGGCTGCCTGTGTCCTCTGCCATGTGGTCCCCTCCATTTTCAAGCCAGTAGTGGTGCATGAGATCCTTCTTATATTTTGAATCTCTGCCTTCCATGTCTCTTTTGCTAGTCACAGATTTAAAGGCTCCTTGTCTTAAAGTCATCTGTGCCATTTAACAAACCTGTTTACCAGGATGAAATCCATCATATTCCCAATCCTGGGGATTATACAGAGGGTGAAGAATCTTGGGGGTCACGTTAGAATTCGGCCTACTACATGGGATAATGCCAGTGAATTGTCCAGCATAGGGGCTGGCATATGGCAAGAATTTGATCATTTTTAACTATCAGCAGCAGCGTCCCTAGAGAAAAAAAAAGGAGATTTTAAAATTAAAAACAGAGTCAATATTGATACCATCACATTGTACCCCAGTAAACAGTCCCCTAACCTCAGTGACTTGGCTAAGCTCCTAAAGCCTAAGGCACCCCATTAATGGGCTGTTATCCCCTGTGGTTGTATCTTCTTGGTACCAGCACAGCCGGCTGAAAAGTGGAAAAATTCCTTCCTTCAGTTGCTTAGTCTACATAAAACCAAACATTACTTAAAAAAAAAAAAAAAAACACTGATTACCGTGATGTCTTGTACATAGGTCTAGACTTTCTAGTAGAACCAAAATGACTTTTCATAGTCTTTTTTATTCTAGGGAATCTCAAATAGATGGTGTGATTTTTCTGTGAATTTCATTGCATAAAACATCTGGTTGACTCTAGAGGCCTTAGTAGGATCTTAGACTGGAATTTAACCCCAAAACCACCTACTACGATGGCTCATCATGTGTGAAAGTTATTGTATAAGTAGAAATAAATAAAAAATATTTTTAAAAATAGATTATCAGTCAACACATGAGAGTAATTCATTATGGGCCTCCTAAAATCATTTGTTGTTTCTCTTCTTGCCTCAAGGCCACAAAGAGACATTATTTTTTTATTTAAAAACTTATCCAAACCCTTGCAAAACAGTTCTTAATTGCTCATATGTTGCTGCTCACCATGCATACTTTTAAATTTTGCTATCTAATTATCTTTGCAGAATAACTTTTGCAGAAAAAAATTCTCCTTCAAGAATCTTTTTAAAGTGTGCATTCTGGGCTATTTCAATTATTTTTCACTGTTAATACATTACTTAGTATTCTCAAAGACACTCTTTTCTTTGAACTTCTCATTAGCTGCAGATGCTTCAATTTAGTCTCATGCATTGGTCCTCTAAATAAAACAGATTAAAAAGTAGATCTTTTCCCTTAATTGAAGAGAAGGAGATATAGATGTCCCACCCAATGTGCTCCCCATCGGCACCCCTTTCCTTGTCCTCTGAGGCCCCACTGGCCCCCTGGGACTCCATGGAACACAGTGTGGAAATCCCAGTTCCTGGTCCTAGGATCCCTGAGGCTGAGAATTCCTAGGGGAGTAGAGTAGGGCCAGGGGAGGGCTGTTCATGAAGTGTGAAAGGTTATCATATGAGCCCATTGTGTGTGTGTCTTACCAGGAGTTAATCACTACTCGCTTCTTCACTCCCTGTTGGTAACTCCTTAAGGCAGCTCACGTGATGGTTGTCTCTGCTGAGATTTCATTACAGGGTTGGGCCTGCCTCTGCAGTCCCTGTGCCCTGTGACCCGGAAGGAGCCTGGGCTGAACCAGCTTTGGAGCCCCGGGAGCAGTCAGGGTGCTTCTCCTCATCCAGACACCACTCACTATTCAGGAAAAACTTGATAGGGACTTTTCAACACTCTCTCCCCTTCATCACTACTCACCCCCTGACCTGTCCCTCCCCTTCATGTCTGTACTCCTGGAACTCCCATGGGGCACCCAAGGGTTGTGGGGGGAAGAGACAACAAGAAGGTCAGAATCATGGCCAGCTGCAATTGCTCACCCCCCACATCCCTTCTGCAAACTGGAGCAGAACGACAGAGTGCTGGGGTAGGCAAGGGACCAGGGCTGGGCTCCCAGAAAGCTCTGTACCATGGGACCCATCGGGAAGCAGACTTCAGTGGCAGAAGCTGCAAGCCCAACTGCTTCTATGATTCATGGGTTTTCTTTTTTTCTTCTGTTTTGCCCTGAGTTTCCTAGGAAACTCTCAAAAATCCCAACCTCATCTCAGCTGAACTCCCCACAGGAGAGATGAGGGAATTTTCTAGGCCCATGCCAGTATAGCTTGGGTGATCAGAGCCCCCAAGAAGACAATAAAGGGACCACTGCTGGTGAGCAACAGAGGAATTGGGAACTGAGGTCACCAAGGCCTTCCATGCCCACACGTACTGGGTTCCCGCATGAGCAAGCGCACCCTGCCCTCCTAAGCCTTTTCCTCGTGGGGCTTAGAAGTAGAGCTATGAAGAGAAAACCAAATCATATAAATAACATAGAATTAATGGATCCTTGAACTCTCAAAGAGAATCATTTTGAAAAGTATCTTAAAGGGATTTGGTTTGTTTTTCCTTACAGAAGAGAGAGCAACAGAGATGGGGAGGAATCCAGCTCTGCCTGACATCCAGGCATCCTCTCCAAATTGCATAGGTCAGTGAGAACTGTTATTTGTTAGAACCTGACATCAGTTGCAGTGAAATGATAAGCTCCGTTAAAAAGCCTGGCCATCAATTACTGCTAATACAGCCCTCATCCCAGAGGGAGCCTCTCACCATCCTCTCAGGCTATGCAGACCAGGCCGCACCAGGCACAGAGTGTTTACAGCCCAGCTCAGCCTCCTTGCTCCCCTGGGGGAGAGGCAGCAGGTAAATCCCTTCTGCAGGTCCCCTCAGGTCATCTCTTCCCAGGTCCTGCATCTGTATTCCTTTGATTCCCTTGGAAGCTTCTCAGAGCTATTTTAAAGACTGCACCGCCGTTCATCCTGCTTTCTCAGTGGAAAACAGACTTAAGGCTTTAGTTCTGGCCTCAGTCACACAAACCAGAAGAAGCTGCACTGAACTGAGCTTACCAGGATAGTCACAGGGAAAGAGTAACTGGTCTGGGCATGGTGGCTTATGCCTGTAGTCCCAACATTTTGGGAGGCTGAGGCTGGTGGATCACCTGAGGTCAGGAGTTCAAGACCAGTCTAGGCAACATGGTGAAACCCTGTCTCTACTAAAAATATAAAAATTAGCCAGGCATGATGGATGTAATCCCAGCTACTCGGGAGGCTGAGGCAGGAGAATCACTTGAGTTGGGGAGGTGGATGTTGCAGTGAGCTGAGATCACACCACTGCGCTCCTGCCAGAGTGACAGAGTGAGACTCTGTCTAAAAAAAAAAAGAGTAACTGGAAGGTAAGCACATCTTTGTTGGGGAAATTAACTTAGTTGTGCCCTTTCAAGAACAATTGAATGCTCAGGCTTGGGTTGCAGTTACCCCAGCAGTCACTGGGGAAGTGTTCAGGATCACCAAGAACAGCGACTTCCTCGCTTGTGAGGTAGGGTCAATTATTCTCTTTCTTCAAAAAATAGATGCCCTATAGAGTCAGAAAGGTAGGGGAGCTGGTTTGGGATTTTTATAATAAACCATAGTAGGAGCATGCGCTATTAATGGAATCAGAGTTCCTTTTGAACTGTTGGGGGAAGAAACATATAGTAAGTCAAGAAAAAGCAAGGGATAATGGCCTGGGAGTCAAGTGACCTGGGTGTCTGTGTGATCATGGGAAAGACACGTCACCTCTCTGAACTTCAGTACCTTCCTTTTAAAGTACTGGGCTAGTAGCCACCTGGTAATCACTAAGCTCTAATATATTTCTGGAATTTTAAGTGAAAATTGTTTAAGGTAGCTGAGCATACTTTTTTATTCATGTTGAGAAACTTCTATCTCTGTTGCCAGAGGTCAGACACAAATTGAAAACATTACTAAATGGAATTAAGTACAGCATGTACGTGATACTTTTTTGTACAGCTCGTATCTGATATTTATAGAACACTTCAGTTGCAGAACGTGCACACATATGCCCTGAACACACACCCAGTAAAACAATTCTAGATGCAATACATTTTCAGATGTCAAGTTAAAACAGCTTCTTGGGAATTAGGCTTGACTGTTCAGATGTGTGTGTGAGTTTCTGACAGGTGCCGCCAGGGCTGCTCAGGGCTGTCGTGTGATGTGGAGTCCAGCCAAGGCAGGAGGGTCAGGCCGCTTGTTTCTATCACTTCTCATTAAGGCATGAATTCTAGAACAAAAGGAAAGCATCAAAGAACAATCAGGATTGTCCATTGTGTGCTATCATAATGACAAGCAGAGGCCTTGCTTCTGCAGAAACAAGATTCTGTCTTATCTTTTGTCAGATCGTTCGGCACAAGGGCCACCTGTGAAAATGAAGTAGATTCATGCCTTATTGAAATAGAGGATTTACAGAGGTGAGCAAAAATGGGAAGCAGGTACCATACAGCTCACTATGTACAGAACATGCACAAAGCACTGGAGACTACCACATACACATATTTTGAAGAGTCCCAACTCAAAGCCTGCTGACTGATTGATGGAATGGTCTATCACTCCCTGAGATTCCATTCTGACAATGAGGCCACACATGGCATTAACTACTCAGATGACTGAGTACAGCTCAGAATTGCAAAGTTGGAAGCCATGTAGTTCTTCCAAAAATTAAAAACAAAATTTAGAAAACTCACTGGGGCAGTTACCTCTACTCCACTGTCCTACAAAACCCACAGCCAACAGCAGAGGAAAGTTGGAAGCCATGTAGTTCTTCCAAAAATTAAAAACAAAATTTAGAAAACTCACTGGGGCAGTTACCTCTACTCCACTGTCCTACAAAACCCACAGCCAACAGCAGAGGTAAGTTGGATGACTCAAGCAGGAATGCATTCTAGGAAGGTAAGTGTGACAGTGGGGGCCAGTCACAGAACATGGAACATGGAAGGAACTTTAGAGATCATCTAGTACTATCCTGCATCAGTACGGCCAGGTCTAATTATGGTAAGCATTAACCATTGTGATAGAAATTCAGTGAAATAATTGATATAGACCTTTAAGCAGAGTGATTGGCATAGAGTTGATTTTCAGTTCATCATTTTCATTTCCTGGAAGAATTTGTGCAAGGCATACAGTACCAAGATTAGAACCCTGTGTGCCTGATTACTGGTCCAAAGCCCAGCCCAAGCCACTCTGACCTCCTACCTTTCCCTCTTTCCTGCTCCCTTGCTCACAGGAGCAGCACAGAGAAGTCAAGGGCAGGAGTATAGCATGCCTGCACCATGTGTCCATCCACCTACCCATGGAGCAGTGGGACATGGGTGCCTTCTTCCTAGCGGCTCATCCAGAGGCTGAAGCCCTCTGTGCCCATGGGGAAAACCCAGGGCATTTGTGAGCAGAAATAGCTCTGCTGAGAGTCTAAAAACCAAGTACTTTTAAGAGAAGGTAAAATGCTCCTGTGGCCAAACTTACTACTAGCATCTGTGGGCAAAAGAGAAGGAGTTTTGTGATGGAACAGGCCAAAGGAAAGACACCACTTTACTGCTGCCTCCAAAGCAGCAGGGAGGCTACACATGGAGAAGAGGACAGAAAATTCCAGTGACTCTTATCTTCCCAGACAGACAGAACCTCTGGCACTTAGTCATGCCTAATGGAAAATCAAAGCCAAGAAAGCAGAAGTGAGGTAGGGTGAGCTAGGGTAGTCTGCAATCCAAAGTCACTTATGAAGAAAAAAAATAGTTTGTCTCCTTGTATACCATGGGTGGGCAGGGCTAAATTGCCAGGTAGCAGCGGCAACTGGTAAGCCTATAGTTTCTGTGTAGCTGCAGTTAAGTTACTGCTAAATCCCTTTAGCAAACATGTAAGAGCTCACTATATACAGAATATATACAAAGCACTGAAGACTAACACCACACACACACACACACACACACATTTTAAAGAGCACCAACTCAAAGCCGCTGATTGATTTCTGGAATGGTTCATCACTGCTTGAGATTCCATTCTGACAGCAAGGCTGTCCATGGCATTAACTGCTCAGCAGACTGAGTGCAGTCCGAATTGCAAAGTGGGAAGCTATGTAGTTCTTCTAACAATCAAAATCAAAATGTAGAAAAGCCCAATTTTGCATTATTGATCACTTGGGGGACTGGATAATCCTTAAACTGTCATTGTTCCAGGTATCCGGAAAAGTGAGCATTATAGGAACATACATATAAAGGCAAGACCACATACTTCCTCCTGATCACTCTATGGACAATAACAATGTTTAAATGTATTGAATAATTACACCAGCATAGCTCTAAGTGCTTTATATTTTTTAATTTCTGTAATTGTCATAACAACCCTATGAGCTAGGTACTGCTATTACACCTATTTTACAGATCATGAAACTGAGGCCCTGCAAAATGAAGTGACCTGTGCAAGGTCACAGAGTAGCTTAGTGTAGGAACTGAGCATATACCATGGCTTTCCCAACTTGTAGACTGGTTTTCATACTGCACCACCTCTTTTCCTCAGATTAATGGTCTGAGTTATCCCAAATTCACCAGGCAGCTGAGCTAAGCCTCTGTTTAGAACTGCAGGGTCTAAGCTGTTTGCCTTGGTTGACGCTCAGGTTTGGCATGCCCAGTGTGGATTTGTAGTGGCAAACATGTGATTATATTTTTCCCAGATCACTAAAGCTAGATCACTTTTCCCATTCATTCATTCATTCAGCAAATGATTATTGAATTTATACTAGGTGTTAGGTACAATGTTAAGTGATGTACAGGATACAGTCCCGGCTTTCAGTGAACTTGAGGAGGGATGAGAATTGCACATAAGTTATTCTCTTTAAGGCAGCATTGTGCAGGGAAAGAGCACTAGGAGTCAAGGAAAGGAGATTATATCTGTTTCCTGAGACCTAGGAAGCTGAAATTGGAGTCTGGGTAGGATTTGCTGTGCACAGATGGAGGGCAGGACACTCCTCCAGAGGAAACAGAGTGCACAAAGGCCCAGAAGGTGGAAAGCATGGGGATTCCAGGAGGTAAGCCAGTGTCCATTGAAGACGGGAGCAGTAGGGGAAGGGAGGGAGGGAGGGAGGGAGGGAGGGAGGGAGGGAAGAAGCGAGGAAGGGAGGAAAGGAAGGGGGAAAGGACAAAGGGTGGGAGGGAGGGAAGGAGGTAGGGGAGAAAAGAAAGAAGACAGGCAGCAGAGATATGCAGGTATAGAGAACATGCCCTCTGGAATCAGACCAGCTGGAATTCAAGTTCTTGTTCTACCACTTTCTAGTAGATTTTTTTTTTTAAATCTCTGTGGGCTTTGGCTTTCTCATCTGTACAGGAGGCTAACACTCCTCCCTCAGAGAGGATTGTGGGTGCAAAATGCAGAAATGATTGTAAAATGTAAAATGTCTGGCATATTGTTGGTGTTCACTATGCTAAAACATTTTTTTTTTTCTGTAGGCAATAAGGTATTTCTTTGTGTGGTGGTGTTTTTTGTTTGTTTGTTTGTTTTCTTTTTAGAGACAGGGTCTCACTCTGTTACCAGGCTGGAGTAGAGTGGTGCGATCATACTCACTGCAGACTTCAACTCCTGGGCTCAAGCAATCCTCCTACCTCAGCCTCCCAAACCAGGATTACAGGTGCATGCAACAGCACTGAGCTAATTTTTTTTTTTTTTTTTTAGAGATGGGGTCTTGCTATGTTGCCCAGGTTAGTCTTTAACTCCTGGGCTCAAGTAATCCTCCCATCTTGACCTCGCAAAGTGGAGGGATTACAGGCATAAGCCACCTCACCCAGTCAGATTTTTTGTAAGTTTACAAATTACATCTTGGTATAATGGTCTGCTTTGGTGTTGATATGCAAATCATAATAGATCCTTCTTGGCCTTGAAAATATTAATAACAGTAACAATTAAGAGTCAAGCTCATGGAACACTATAAAGGAATGTTTAGCTTCGGTTCTTTTACCCCTTCTTTGCCACCTCAATGCCAAGGGCTTTTAGAGACTCCACTCTGGATCTTCAGAGTTAGGATTGCCAAATTTGGTAATTAAAAATGCAACATGCCCAGTTAAATTTAAATTTCAAATAAACAAATAATTTAGTGTAATTATGCCCCATGCAGTATTTAGGACATACTTATACTAAAAAGTCATTGCTTATGTTAACGAGGCATCCTGTATTGAGGGGCAGGTCAGGAATCAGCCAGAACAAACCTGTTTCCTATACTTGGGAAGGAGGCTCACCTGCCTTCCAGCCTTGTCTCTCAGGTGGTAAAGGCTCCACGCAGCAGGCTTTGAGCAGGACCTTAGAATCACCTCCTGGGTAGAGACATCAAATACTAATGGGTCCCACTGTGCATGTTTGGGATTGAGAGTGGGGGTGAAGCAGGGAAGAACGTCTTGTCTCAGGCTTCACATATCCTCAGCGCTCTCTGTATGGGCAAGAACACACATCAGCCTTTCCTACCTCCAACTTAAAGGCCTTAGGGGGATTTTCTTCGCTTTCTTCAGAACATTTCAACAGACAACGGGTAGAAAGAAGACAGCCTTTGTGTCTGATAACGTGTCTCATAGAATTCGAGCTGGTCTCAGGGCAGAGTGTCCTCTTCAAGTTCCTTCCAGGAACATTACTCACAGCGGGAACTTGAGTTGTCCCTTGTGGGGAGATGTGTGTGTGAACGACTTGATCCAGCCATCCACATGTGATGGTAACAGACTCAGCGCGCTGTGCCCTGGGAATCTGAGGATCATGATATCAGAGCCAGAAAGATCATCCAGCTGCTTCACTTTCTAGGTGAAACAAGGGAGAATGCTGCCCAAGGTCACAGAATGTTGAATCTGAACTCAGGTCTAGGTGTCTGTCTACTTTGGGTTCTCCAGTAATAACTCAGGGGATCTGGGAATTCTTGGCACCCTTTTTGGTTGATTTCTGGGTATTTTCTCTGGATTACCTGATGAGTATCCCCCAGACCCCGCTTGGCTGCGTGTCCTCGGCACTGCCACGCTCAGCTTTATGCTTTGACCACTGCTCCTAGGAGCTAATGGCACTTTCTCAACCCGCCTGCTCATGGCCCTCCCCATTAATGCCTCCTCACTGCTTTCTCTGCCCCACCCTGACCAAGCTTTCTGCGGTTGAGATGGAAAAATCCACCTCAGAGCAGATAGATTTTCACCTCAGTTTCAGGGGAATAATTCGTCCATATAACATGAGGTAAAAATTAAAACACAGCAGGGCGTAGTTCAGGCAGAATAGCACCCTTGGGCTTAAGAGTGACTTTGACCTATTCCTCCCAGACCAGAGAAATTATCTGGCTGCCAGAGAGTTCTTAGAGGAATCACTTTGTTAAATGGTATCACTGGCAAGGTGGGATTAACCCTAAGACCAGGTTTATCTGAACACTGAGGGCAAACCTGACTGTGCAGGCAGGGCCAGCCCACGTGGAAGCCCAGGGCAGTGATCATGGGATCTTCCACTCTTTTTATTTTCTTATTCTTGCCACAACCTGTCATGAGACCAAGAAAACTTGTTTTGAAAATGCTTGACAGCCAAAACAACCTGTTCTCAGCCCTGGATGAGAGGGCTTGTCCTCTCTGACCACTTACGTACTGTTAGACTAGCTGCTGACTGGAAAAAATGAATTTGCTGTTTTCTTCTTATATTGTTCACAGACAAGTGCCAGTGGCTTTCCAGTTCCTGTTTCCCTTTTTTTCCCAGCCTTTTCTTCACCAGAGACATTTTAGGATTGTGCCTGAGTCTAATTGATGAATGAACACTAGCAACATATACTTACGAGGCTGTAACTGATGGTTATATCTCTGCAGCTGAGCTTGATATGTAGGTTGTCTTTCCAATCCCATTTGGTTTTGACCTGTAGATTTAATCTGTAGATAGATTTTTAACCTGTGATTTTCCACCTGCTTTTTGGTCCTCTCTGGTTGAACATGGTAATCAATCTCCAGTTATCCAAGTGGCCATTTTGGCCTCTGCGTTGGTGGCTAGGCCAGCAGTAGTATCTCTCTGTTCCTCCCACCAAGCCTTGCCAGTCAGGTCTTGGTCTTGGGTGGACATCCAAATGGCCCTGTGACTGTAAAGGAGTGACTTCATCTATTCTCCTCTGTATAGGGAAGGGTTGGATTAGATACGGGATGGGCAAACAACAGCCTGAGGGCAAAGCTAGACAGCTTTTCATAAATAAAGTTTTATTGGAACACAGCCACATGCATTCATTTACCTGTCATCTATGGCTGTTATCACTACAAGGCCAGAGCTGAATTTTTGTTAATAGAATACAGGTGTGGCCTGCAAAGCTGCAAATATTGATTATCTGGTCCTTTATAGAAAGAGTTTGCTGATCCCTGAACTAGATGATCTCTAGGGCTTTCAGATCCAGCATTCTATGGCTCTTGAACTTATGGCAATTCTCGTCTAGAAAGAGCTCCTGGAATAGGAACTAACTGGAAAGGGCCTCTTTCCATCCTGTAGCAGTTAGCAAAACAAAGCATGCTTTGAGATTGTTGAACTTTACAAAGGGCGGGGCTTATTTTGCTTTATTTTTACAGAGTTTATTTTGCTGTGTGTCCGTATTTGTTTATTGATCTGATGGCTCTGGTATGCATGGTGTCCACCAGTTTTGGAGAAAAGATATCCCAGCTGTGAAGGTCTGACTATATTCAGTGGCATGGTTCGAGGTGGGACACCCATTTGTACCCACCTGGAAGAGAATGCTGATTCGTAGCCAAATGCTGTCCTGGAGAACCTGTAGGGCTGCCCAAACTCCACCCTTCTCCTGGGCTGTCTGTGTTTGCCTTTGTTTCTGAGTCTAAGCAATGGGATGGAAAAAATTAACTACAAGTGTGGGGTAGTGCAGTAGGATGTGGTCAGCAGAACCAGAATGGGTTCTGAAGATGCCTTTAAAAGTACAAATTAGGACGGAAGTAATCTGCACTTTCTTCCCCCAAAGCCCATCCAGACAAGGTTCTAATTTACAGAATTTGCATCCCAGTGAAGTTCCCCATACCCATGTCAGTGCACCAGATGTGTGATAGGGAACCCAAAACACAGAACTGAACAGTCTTCTCGGGGTCACCTTGGCCGATAATAAACCTTTGTGCAAACTAAGAAAAGTCTCCCCCTTTGGGTTGTGCAGAGTTAGCTTTAGATAAAGAAGAAGCTGTCCCTTTGTCTGGGCCTCTGTCCCTGGGGGAGCACACAGCTTAGCAAGCACACTGAGGCTCGATTTCAGCTCTCACTTGCTCTCTTGGCCTGAGGCCTTTGTGTGGGGCACAGCCCCCTTGCCCCTTGTACCTAGCATGTTAGAAGTCTGTGGAGCCTCTCACCCCGCAGACTCTCAGGGGCCTCGCTGGCCAACAACAGGTGAACTCTGCTTGGCCTTGGTCTTTGAGGACACAGCAGACCAGGCTAGCTACCAGCACGCCTCTTCATCCCTGTCCTCTTCAGCAGCATTGCAAGGTAAGTGTAACTGGAGTCAAAGCTGGAGGATCGGTGCCCCGAGCTGACAGCAGAGTCAGTCCTCTGGCCACAGATGCTGTAGGCCCTGCTCTAGACCAGGTGCTCACTCGGTGGGGGTCTGAGCCCTGGCTCAGCTTCAGCTCAGCTCGAGGAGTGCACATGATTTTCCATACGGTTAAACCTCAAAGGCAATACACTCACAGCACAGAGAAATGTGCTCAGAGGTCTAGAATAGACAGGCTCCCGGTGTGGGGCTGACCTCACTCCCGAGGCACTGGGTTCCCCGCTGAGCAGTGTGCAGTGATGGCATCCTGCCGGGACACCCACCCTCGACAGGGAGTGTTATCAGAGTGGCTTGGAGAAGGCTGTGATGAACTCTGTGGGCGCTTCAGCATTGTGGTCAGATCCGATTTCCACCGCTCAATTCATGCTGGAAATTGTATTTGGGCCAGCCGTGTGGGCAAACTTTGAAAGATTTCTGTCCTACCCTTTTAATTCTGCATCTATCAGCGGTTCTTAGCAGCTCAGAGACTAGAGGAGTGGGAATAAAAGAGGCAGCGAGCTGACAGCAGCCCAGGACCCAGTATCTGTGTCCTGTCCCCTTTCTTGGTTTTAAAAGC